CATTGGGCATTGCATTACATAGCCCTTATGTTGTGTCCTTCAATGCTTAAGGACTCCAACTTGCCATGCTCATGTTGTTGCATTGCATGTTGTTTGCATGTTGTTACATTGCATATTGTTTACATGTTGTTGCATTACATTGTTGTTTGCATGTGTGCTGCATTGCATTGTGTTTGGATCGGATGTTGATCCAAACATGAGAAACGAGGGGCGTTTCATACTTAAAGTGATGAAATGCGCCTCATTTCTTGGTCACTGACACCTTTGATCATGCATGATAAGGTGGAGGTTCATCAAGTCCTTATGTGTTATTTTTGTGCATTCATTGACATTGAATTGTGCAAACTTGGCTTCTTTGGCCATCATGCATTGAGATGCGTGATTGATGGCCCGAGAGTCGAGTACCGCACTCCCTTGAGCTTGAGAAATGATAGGAAGGGCGGTTGTGCACACATACCTTGCAAATACACTACCATGCCTCTGTTTGTGCTCTGTTGCAGCAAAAGGAGAAATTGCAGGAAGTAGTTGTCGACCGGCCATCAAAGTTGCCGACCGGCTACCAAGTCTGCTGATCGGCTATCAAAATTGGCCAATAGTTATAAACTCTGGCCGATGGCCATTCCTCTTGGCCGACCATCCCTCAGCATGTTCTTAAGGTGGATCAGAAGTATCTTGGAGGTTGGCACAATTTTCAAAAGTCCAAAAGAGTGCAAACAGAGGCATCACGAGGCACGGTAGTGGATTTTCGAGCGAAGCTAGCCGAGCATGCATACACCCCTCGCCCCGAGGCTCCTTTTAACTACTTTTCTTAGCTAGTTAACTATTTGGTTCTATACTTAAGTAGTTAATGCACTTAGCTATTCATTTGCGTTTGTAATTAGTTAACTTGTTAGTTAATTAGTTTCGGTTTGTAATTAATTAGCTTAGCGTAGCTAGTTAGTTGATTCATTCGGACCCTCTGTCGAGAGGGCAATTTTGTAATAAGTGTGTGTGTGTGTGATGCATGTCTTCCAACCCCCATTTGTTTCTCCCTTTTACTTATCAGCTTTTGATGGTTAGTTTTAGGACATATTTCAATTAGCATCCTTATGTTTGCATGCATGCATCATTCATCTGTCTTGCATACACCAGGCTCGGCACATCATACAAACTGCATTATATTTCAATACACTTCTTGAATACGTGTTTCAAAGCATGTTATCGAGTGTTGCATTCATATGCCATCTTAGAATAGCCGAGCCTATCTTAGTTGCATTTTGCATGTGTTGCATTAGGCATTCTTGACATAGCTTGTCATGACCCGAACCCGCCCCTGTGGGTTAAGGACATAACCGGCCAGTAATCAAGGGATTACCTATGGCCTCAAACCAAACAAGACATAACTCATCAGAGTAAAGGGGCCAAACGGAAGCAAATTTAAAACTTTTGTCCATAAAGCTGTGCTTACGTGGCACATCATAACAGTCCATATATATATATATACCTGCTAATAACTCACATCAAAGGGATAACAACACAAAGTTCTGTACATACACAGGATCGTTCAAGTCTTAGTCAGCCTAACCAAAACTTATATACAAAGGTAATCCAACATTCTCGCCAACATAACAAAATGTAACAAAATAGCAAAAAGGCGAAAACAAGTCTCGTGCGTGAGACGTATGGGCTGACTCTTCAAAACCTTGACTATTTCTCACATATTTCACCAAAGCTGGGTTTGGACATCGCTTGGCTCACCTACATAGACATGAATGAGCGTAAGCGAAAGCCCAGTGAATAATATCAAATAAGGAAGATACATGAACAATCTTTGAAACAGTTACATCAGACGACCTTGGGCCCAATTCATGTTTCTATTTAATGTACCAATCGACTAAAGTTCTAGACGTATCAAATGGCCTCGAGCCCAATTAACTCATTCCTGACGACCTTTGGCCCATCCATTCATGTCTAACGGCCTTTTTGGCCCAATCGTTCAAATCCGACAGCCTTCGGCCCAATCGTTCATATATGACGGCCTTTGGCCCAATCGTTCAGATCCGACAGCCTTCGGCCCAATCGTTCATATCCGACGGCCTTTAGCCCACTCGTTCATACCAAACTATCATTCATGTCAGATGGCATTTGGCCCAATCATTCATATGTCAGACTATCATTCGTGTCAGACGGCCTTTGGCCCAATCATTCATATGTCAGACTATCATTCACGTTAGACTATCATTCGTGTCAGACGGCCTTTGGCCCAATCATTCTTTCATTCATAGCAGACGGCCTTAGGCCCAACCATATGGCATAACAAACATTTGTCCACAATTCAAATTAATAAACTTATAAGACTTATAGGGAAATAAGTAATTGGACAAATAACATACTTCAAAATATCTTTAAAGATATTACTCACAGTGATCTGCCGGTGGATTTGCCCTCGTGCTTGACCCTACACATTTCATGAACATAATGGGTCACAAACAATTCATTCTGTTCTTAATTCATATATTCATCTTGGGCTTCGTTCTTATCATTTTAACTCATTTACAATGCTTAATGCATGCCTGAGAGTGCTCAGAAATGAAAGAGAACGGAAAATGAAACACAGAGCACCTTTACAAAATTTCTGAAACAGGGGTCCCCGCTCGAGCATGGGCTTCACCGCTCGAGCGGACCCTCATGGTCTGCAAAAGTTCTGGTTACCTTATTTTTATGCTCGAGCGCAAATTCGGACGCTCGAGCTGAAGGTCACACTGCATGGCTCTCCGCTCGAGCGTGAATGTCCCCGTTCGAGCGGACATCAATGTCTGCAAAGAAAATTCTAGGAGCTCGCATTTCACGCTCGAGCGGCGCTTTCCCCGCTCGAGCGGACATGCCAAATTCTAGGTTTTCCAGAACTGTTCTTCAAGTTCAAACTCGACCTCCAAAGGTCCAAAACTCATAATGTTTGTTCAAAACATGCAAATACATTATATATCATGAGTATACAAGCAATATGAGGCCAATTGCTCAAAATCATGGTCACATTCTCAAATTAATCAACACTTCTTTTGTATAATCAAAACTCATGCATTCAAACCTCATATAAGCTCCATATCTCCAATAATCAATCATGCATGTCAATTTTTGACTTCAATTCCATTTCAAATAGCACCAATGATGCTCATAACCATGAAAATCAACAAAACTATGCTTGCATGTATGCTTTAATGCTCAATCTTTCATAATTCACATATTACATGCTAAATTATGTAATTTCATAGAAATTCTCTTCATGCATGAACACATGGATTTTAATCTCAACTTAATCAATTCAATTCATGATCTAACTTACCATTTAATCTTCAATTCACAAAATCACAACTCAAACTCATGAATTAAGGGTTGATTACTCACCTAGGAGCTTCAAACACTCAAGTTCTTTGAGTTTAACTTCCAATTCTCAAGCCTTGAGCCAAAATTGCACAATTCTCCCCCTTTCTCTCTCTAGAGCCGACCCTCTCTCTCTCTCTCTCTCTCTCTCTCCTTAGAGTAATCTTAGCCAAATTGAATAAAAAGAGAGGAGTTGAGTGTAAATGACCCCTTTTATAGGCTATTTCTCAATCACATTCATTATTACTAATTAATTGAGCACTATACCATCAATTTAATCTATTTAATTTGATCCGAATCAATTTTCAATTAAATTTCACCGTAGGCTCTAAAAATTTCGCTGATCACAATGGCGTAGTCAATTTCGGTTTCTGTGGCCGATAAGGCCTTCAATTTTCAATTTATAACAGTAAGTTGAATATATATTCCTACGGTGAACAGATAGAAATTCAAAACCACATATATTCATACAAATGGCACTCAAAATCATATCAAACAAATAATCATAATCACAATTAAGATTAATTAGCATAATACGGACCAAGTTTATCACATAGCTAGGGTTATGCATTGATTACTAACTAGCTTCTTTTTTGGCTCGGAGTACTTGGTGAGTGTTTATGCTTTAGCATCCTTGCATGTGTGTAAGTGACTGCCATGATAGCATGCTTGCCATAAGGTTATTTGCTTAACTGCTATAACTGCATGAATGCCTGTGGATGAAGGCTTGATTGCTTCAATTGGAACTGTTATCCCAGTTAGGCAACCCAAGAGGGGGGTGAATTGGGTTATTAAAAATTTCACAATATTAAAAATAACACAATATTCAGAATTTGAATAAATAAAAACAAACAGAATAATAATTATCAATATAAAAGTAGGAGAGATAGGGAGAGAAAATCAAACACTGCGATTTATAGTGGTTCGGCACGTCAGGCCTACGTCCACTCCCCAAGGAACCTCCTTGAGAATTTCTTTACTATCAATTGAATAAATACACCACCAAGCTTTACTCAATCCAAAAGCAAAGGCATTGTCACAGAGAGGGCAGAGATATATAAATTTGTTCTTATATATATATAGATCAACCCATGGTAAAAATTTAAACACAGATACATATGAAGAACCTTAACAACCTGTTCTTATACATCTGTTGTTCTTATACATCTGTTGAGAATCTTAAAACAATATGTTCTTCATTTGAGAAATAGAAACATGTACATCTGTGCTTAATAAAGAAATATGTTCTTCAGTTGTTGTTATACAAATGTAAGGGAAGTAAATTAAAAAAGAATGAACATATACATCTGTTTGGGGGATAAATGTATGATCAATCTATGCTACAAACTGCCAAATCGGACAATTTTGATGAAGTAGTTTATTCTTTTTGGAACTTCTTGTGTGGGAATTTAAACATATCCAACAGTTTATGCTTCTATTCACCCAATCTGAAGCCTTTGCATTTACTCGACGCAAATTCATAGGAAACACACGGTGTTCATGGCTTTTTATTATTATTAATATTTGCATTATTATTATTGGTTTGGGGTTGTATATCTCCAATGTGTGCAAGTGCATATGGATAAAAGAACGTGGATGAATAACATAAAATAGAAATAAGCCAAAATCGATTTTTAAAACTTAATTAACAACAATAAAAATTGATTTTCAAAAATTTAATTTGAAAAGAAGTTTACCACTGTAATACATGTGGATGAATAATAATTTCCAAAAATAACTTTTATTAATGGTTACCTAGCACCTTCGTATTTCTACGTTACCATTTTCATTCATGTACTTCTAATTGATTTACTTTGATCACGAATGTATAATTTGTAATTAATTGATTTTGCCATGACATGAATTCTTAATTTGATAATGTAAACACACGGTGTTCGTTACTATGTTCCATATATTATTATTTTTTTTTTTTTGGGTATGTTTATATCCCATGTGTGCAACTGCATATGGGTTAATAAATAAGTTCACCACTATACAAAGGTATGGATGAATACTACTTTCACAAAATCAATTTCATTAATGAAATCAAATTACGACAGTAGATTTGTACATAATCATTTTGATTCTTGTAAATTTAATTGAATTCTAATTTGATTATGAATTTATAATTTACATAAAATTGGCTTAATTTGAAAACTTATTCTTAATTTGATTCATGTAAACACACGGTGTTCATGCCTTTTTTATCTGTTAGGTTTGAAAAGGAATTTAGAGATTTACCTTTCTATTGAGATTCTTAGACAATGAAACCATAATTTGTAGGGTGCAGTACGGTTAATATTAAATGAATGAAATAATAAGTTTGTATACCCATCATATGAAATTTGTGCATCAGCGTGTTCATTTCATGTTTAACCTGAAGTATGGATATCATAAACTAATGACTACTATGATTCATTGTTACTTTCGAATGTTTGTCGTTCATAGCATGGCTTCGTTTACCTCTAGTGCAACTTCCAGTACATGGCCACGTCGAATGTGTGCCTGTGGACATGGCCCCTATATTGTTAAGATTTCAAGGTCCACCAAAAACCCAGGGCATCCCTACTTTGCATGTCCTCGCCCTGTGGTGAGTGCCCAATTCATTATCGGTCATAACTACATGAACATTAAGAACCCGTTGACTAATAATTTCATCATTTGCACTCGTTAGCCTTGTGTCAGTTGGATTGGTTGGTGCGAAGAACCAAGGCGAGAGAGCACGGACTATGCGTCATCCAGAGACGAAATTGTCATGCAATTACGGGATGATGTCATACACATTCAACATTCCTTGTGTGTCGTTAAGACCATTGTCTATGTGCTATGCATTGTCGTTGTCATTTTGTTGTTGCGTATGTAAGCAACATTAGGATGTTGGTAGTATGTACAACCAAGTTACGAGGTTATTAGTATGTTAGTAGTATGACTATAATCTTGCTTTGCGTTCCTCCACTAGGAAAGGTTATTGGTATTAATGACTATCATGCCTATGTGCATCGTGCAGTTCCATGTTTCTTTATTTATGTTACTAATGTGCAATGGTTATATGATGTCTAATTTAGCATCCTATTTATCTGTTTATTGTTCATGGGCATAGATTCTTCCATAATGCAACCAATTTAAATTATTCTGCTATCGGCTTATACGTTTGTATGTAACAACCACATATAGTCATGTGACCTTTTGTAAGCGTACATTCGTAATGGTTTCCATACGTACTTCACCGCGTACTCAATCCAAAAGCAAAGGCATTGTCACAGAGAAGTCAAGCAGTCTTGAAGAGACACAGACTCAGTTCAGCCACAAGGCCTCATGGGACAGTGACTCAATCCGTGTTTTCCTGCAATTGATTGCAAATGAGATTACAAAAGGAAACCGACCATTCCTAGTCCTTAGCCAAGTTGGGTACAAGTCGTTGGCCAGGAAATTTGAGAAAAAAAAGAAAGAAAACATGGCCTCAAACAGTTGAAGAATAAATACATGAGTTTGAAAAAAGAGTGGCAAGCGTGGACAAAGTTGATGGATTCAAGCAAAGGAGTGTTAGGGATAGGGTTTGACTGTGACACCGGTATGTTTTAAGCACCTGAGGAGTGGTGGGACAAGATAGAATCGGTAAGTACATGTACAAACAAGTTTCATATTTGTCTGTTACCAGTACATTTTTAACCTTTTTAATTAACTTTTAATTAATTATATGAAATGAAACGTCTTTCTCTTTCATATATCTCCCTTTCTGCAGATAAACAAGGTGTGTGCCAAGTTCAGGAAAAAAATGTTGGAACATCGTGACTTGATGGAGACGGTCTTCATGGGGGCATCAGCTACTGGTTAGCACCATTGGACCCCGGGAGAGAAACTTCCTGAAGCTGCTGATGACTCATCGGATTCTGTGCATAGTTTGGGAGCCCAGCCATTTGCTGATCCGATACCCGCAGGAGTACAGGACGTGGATTCAGATTCTTCACTGGAGCCTGTTTCGATTGAAAAGGGAAAAAGGAGAAAGACGCCATCAACAAGTATTTCAAAGTCGAAGAAGGTAACAAGTGAAGCATCAGTTATTGCGAAAAGCATGAACAATCTAACAGATGTGGTGCGTACGAAGAATCAGCAGGTTACAGTGAGGCACCTCACAGGCAACGAATCGATGCACACTATTTCGAAGTGCATGCATCGCCTGACGACTATTCCATCCCTGATTGGTACACTGCTATTCCATTTCACCTCGACACTTATGGACAACGCAGATTACCGGAGGTGTTGATGTGCCAGCGTGATGATGACCACATCATAGGGTGGCTTACACAAAAGCAGCTCCAGTGTACTGCGTCGGCACCGTTTGCGAACCTGTTTGGGGCTCGCCAGATGTGATGTAGCGGTGTTAGGATTGTTGAAGATGCTTGCCCTTCTCTTGCTTTTGAAAACTTTTACTTATGTTATTGTTGGCACTGTATTAAAACAAGATGGTTGTGTTTGCATGTTTTTATTCCTTCCTTGTTGTTTTTTTTTTCTTGCTAGCTATGGTGAACAAAACTTTTAGTTAAGTTTGTCGTAGATAGAATGGAAGCATGGTTGTGCGTTTTTTGGGAAAGGAATGGGATGCTTCTGTTTTAATTGAATGTATGGCAATGAAATGCGCAACGACGGTTTTCTTGCTAGCTTTCGTATGTCTTTATTTTGCGAGGAAAACTATTATGTTAGTTTGACGTCATTTTTTGTGGTTGTTACCACCATAGTCCCCTCTGTAAACAATAACGACCATGTTCACAATCTGTTCAATTCATATCATTATGCGTTAGTAATGACATCGGTGACGGCATTACTTACATTAAAAACAATGTCGACATTCTGTAATTGCAAACTGTTATTACATTTGAGTCAATGAATCACGTGAAAACTGATTGAAATAGTGCCACTCTTGTAGGTTTCGCATCAACGAAGACGTGATGAATCCCTGGGATGGAAGCAACAATGACGATTTAAGGGAAATGCTTAATCAAATGGCCGTACAGCTGCAACAAGAAAACAACTGGACATTTCTACAAGCATGCCAGTATGCGACAGAGTGGTACGAAAAACACATGGCTAAAACGCCGTGTCGCACTTCGATATTGACCGGGCATGCATAGATATGCGAACTATATGCGGGCCATATGGGTCGATTTGAGGAAAATGTTTACATGGCGAAGGAAGTTTTTGCTGCTTTGTGTGAGACATTAGTAAATGATTTTGGGTTATAAGTACGGCAACGTCCACATGGCTTAGCTGTTGAAGAAAGCGTTGTAATGTTTATCCATGTGTTGCAAAGGATGCAAAATCGGCAAATCCAAGAACGTTTCCAACATTCAGGGGAGACTGTGTCTCGGCACCTGCATAACGTATTAACTTCTATGAAAGAGTTCACTGTTGTTCATTGCCGGCCCACATACAATCAGCATCGTATACATCTATACGTGCGGTCTAAATATAAATACCTACCGTTCAAGGTACTACTGAAAAACATTATTGACATATAAGTGCGAAGTGAAGTTATTTTGTTTTTATTATTAACTGGACGTGACGTATGAAAATAACCATTACTTGTTACCCGTTTAAGTAACAATACAATTGGGTTGTTTGCAGGACTGTATTGGAGCAATAGACGGAACACATGTAAGTGCATGGGTTATGGGGCCAGATGCGGCAACATATTTTGGTAGGAAATACTGTCACACGCAAAATATCATGGCCGCGTGCGATTTTGACATGTGTTTCATCTTCATTCGTGCGGATGGAAAGGAAAAATGCATGATAGTCGCATCTTTAACGAGATACTAACAAATAACAATGTCTCATTTCCACATCCTGAAGAAGGTAACACAGTGCCATGAATTCTGAATTGATTGGGCTATAATTTTTTGTCAAATAGCGTTACTTGAAAATGAAGCACAATGTTTGTTTTTGGTGTCATACATTGTTGTCCTGTTTGCAGGCAAATATTATCTTGTCGATTCTGGCTATCCAAACCGGATAGGTTACCTAGCACCATTCAAAGGCAGCCGTTACCACCAATAAGAATTCCGACGTACTCAATGGAACAGGACGGCAAACACGCCAAGGGAATTATTTAACAAAGTTCACTCGTCGTTACGCAGTGTGGTGGAACGCACTTTCGGTGCCTGGAAAAATCGATGGGGGTTTATTCGAGACATGCCTCGGTATGACTTTGCAAATGTGCATGTTCAGTTAGTAGGTGCGTCAATGGCATTACATAATTATATACGACGAAACACAGGTAATCCAACAACTGTTCACCCAATCTGTGACGAAGAAGAGGCTATGACAATAGTAAATGCCATACTAGAAGTTGAACACGACGATGATGGTTTAATGGTTGGGGATGAGGACTCGCATATGGCATTGGTGCGCCTTCGCATACGCGACAAGTTATGTTACTTGCGTAATAACGGAACGTTAGGAAATATATAATAGTCGACCTAATTTTCGTAGGGTTGTAACATTGGTAACACGCGTGGAACAGATTGTATTCAAATATATTATCATGTACAATATGTATGTGTTTACACGGGAATATAACCCCTTTCAGTTCGTGACGTGCCTAACTTTGAAAAACCAAAAACCATAGAAAAAAGCCTTTTCGAAAAAGAAAACAAGGTGAAACAAATAAGAAAAATAAATTCAAAAAACTAATACATAAATTATCATGTGCGACGTCAATTAAAAACATAAAAATACCAGTTGAAAACAACAAAAAACCAAAACAAACCTCATTTTTTAGTCATGTGCCACAGCAATATATGAATTTTCACATCATTTTAAATAAATGACATGAAAATACATTTTTCCCAAAAAACCAAACAAATTAAAAACAAAGTAAAAAATAAAAAAATATAAAAGTTAAAAACATGAATTACCAGTTGCCACATAATTTAAAAATAAGGAAAACACATGAAAAACCATTTCTGAAAACTAAAAACAAATTAATGTATACAAATTAAAAAAAATTGACAAAAGCGTAAATGAAAAAAAAAGAACCACAAAAATAAGTCTCATCAAACAAACAAACAAAAAACAAAAAAGAAATTTGCAAACAGAAATTAGCATTTGCCACATAATTTGGAAAAAAAAAATAAAGCACATGAAAATCCATTATTCAAAAACAAAAACAAATTAATGTAAACAAATAAAAAAAAGTTGACAAAAACGTAAATTTAAAAAAAAGAACGACAAAGTTTACGGCTCATCCAAAAAAATAAAAAATAAAAACATAAAAAGAGAAATTAGCATTTGCCACGTAATTTATAAATAAATAAAACACATGAAACCCTATTTTTGAAATATAAATACAAATTAATGTATACAAAAAAGAAAATTGACAATTTTGTCAATTTAAAAAAAAGAACGACAAAAATACAGCTCATCCAAAAAATAAAAAATAAAAACATAAAAATAGAAATTAGCATTTGCCACGTAATTTACAAATAAATAAAACACATGAAAACCCATTTGTCAAATATAAAAACAAATTAATGTATACAAATAAAAAAAAACATTACAAAAACGTAAATTAAAAAAAATGACAAAAATACGCCTCATCAAAAAAAAAAAACAAAAAATCAGAAATTAGCATTTGTCACGTAATTTACAAATAAATAAAGCACATGAAAATCCATTTTTGAAATATAAAAACAAATTAATGTGTACAAATAAAAAAATGACAAAAACGTAAATTAAAAAAAAATAACGAAAAAAATACGCCTCATTCAAAAGCATTTAAAAAAAAAACATAAAAACATAAATTACCATTCGCCACGTAATTTACAAATAAATAAAACACATGAAAACTCATTTTTGAAAAATGAAAAAAAGTTATTGTATACTAATAAAAATAAATAAGACAAAAAACGTAAATTAAAGAACAAGAAGTAATTAATGTATAAAAAAAGAAAAATGACAAAAACATAAATTTTTTTTAAAAAAAAAAATCAAAATATGCCAAATCCAAACCTCAAAAAAACACAAAAAAAAAAAAAAAAAACAATTTCGGTCTAAACAATCTGACGTGGAGGACCACCAGTAATGAGTTGACATGTAAAACACAGTTGAAGGGCAGTTTGGTAATTTAACAGGGAGACATTTCACCAAAAAGTTAAAAAAGTCCTTTTTAAACTAGGCTTTTTTAACCCCAAGTTAAAATAACCAAAAAAATTAAAAAGTCAAAAAACCAACCCACTTCCCAGACGGAGGCATAGTTGATTTACTTTGAAATGATGACACAAAAAACAAGATTAAATAATTAGGTGCAACTATAAAGATTTATAATGAAAATATTAGTGGAGCTAATTTAGAGATATGTTGGAGTTGGAGAAAAGATAGTTAAAAAAACAAAAAAAAAAATAAATAAATAAAGAAAAGAAAAGAAAAGAAAAATAAAAAAGAGAAATAGAAGTTAATAACATGTTTGGATCTTTAATTTGACAAAGAAAATAAAAAATGAAATATGTAAGTATGGTTAATAAAATTAATTTGTAGATATTCCTTCATTTTTTTTTCTCTTTTATTAAGTTAAAAATAAAATAAATTTAACCTTTCACTTTGTTTAGTTCCAATTTTTTTTTTTTATTAAAGAGACAAGTTAGAGAAAAGAGAGTTCATCAATAATAAGAAAATAAAATAATATATTTGGATCTTGAATTTGTTATAAAAATGAATTTGCATCTATTCAGTTTATTTTAATTTTGTCAAAAAGTGAATAGTGATCAACCTAAATTTTCAAAAAGTGAATAGTAAAGTTTTCAAAAATATTTTTATTATAATATTTAACAAATATATATATTTTTAAAAAGATAATATTTTGTGTCAAATAATATGTATATTAAAAAAATCCAAATTGTTACAAATAATATTTTAGACATCATCAAAATTAAATAATATGATTAACAGGAACAATTCATCAAAATGTGAGTTTTAAGCCCACTTGAAGCGGCAAATCATCATGTTTTAAGCCCACCTTGTTTGGTGGCAAATCCGCGTTTTAGCCTACTTGTGAGTAGCAACTTCAAACCATTTTCGAAAAACAAACATGAGATGTTTTGTTCCAACTTGAGTGATTGAGTATATACTTGTATGCTGTGCGCATCACATAGTAATTCTAGGTTAATAACCGGAAAAAGAACACATGTGTTTACAAAAACAACATATCATGTTAGTAGAGGCTGATCTTTAATCAGGCGAACGGGGATGCTCATTTCATGACCTTCTCCCCTCGTACCCAAGTTCCCGAGCCGAGACAACTTTGGTGATGACGGACACGTGGCCTTAGACACGAGTCAGGGTTTCCTAAATTTTCCAAAATAAAATATTTAGGTGGCGACTCTGAAATCTAGCAAAGTAGTCCATGTTTGGCGCTTCTTGATTAAAATTAATTTTCCAAAACGATTTGCCATATTTGGACTCTTTGGTGATTTATCAGTCTTACATTGCACTTTGTGAGATTAGATTTAGAACCGTGATAGGAGTCCGAACTGTAGTAGCTAAGAACTACAATTCACGCCCTCGCGCGCGGAGTGAGGTTCCGGGCGGTTTACAATTGGGTTGGAAGACATACACCTTCTTACAATATTTGTGCCCTCATGCAGGAAGATCCGAATAAGCTAACTAACTAAGCTAATTACTACGATTACAAACTGAATGAAATAATCAACTAAACTAGCTAATTAATTATTACAACAAATTAACTAACTAACTAATTAATTAATTACAAATCAAAACGAACTAATTAATTACATGAATACAACATGAAAGAAGTGCTAAGCTAGCTATTCTAATTACTCCACCTTGGGAAGTGAGGAATGCTCATACATGCACGGATTCCCACCCGAAAAAGGCCACTGTTTTGCTGCCAGATGCCTCTGTTACACAGTAGAACACTTGCACTATTTTTCACCTCAAAGCCAATTCTATTATGTTTGAAAAGGGCACTGCTGGATTTTGCAAAGGTTGCCGGCAGGCTAGAAGTGGTGGCCTATTGGCCACAAATGATGGTCTATCGTCCACAAAAGATGGCCTGCCGGCCACAAAAAGTGGCCTGCCAGCCACTGATGCCTAGTTTTTCCTACTATAACAGAGAGCAAACAGAGCAAGCACAGGGTATTCTTGAGGGTTGTTTGGACAACATACCCCTCCTTATCATCAAACAACTCAAAAGAGTAGTAAACTTGATTTACAAACCATCAATCGATGCAATTTCATTGCATGATGGCCTATGAACCAAAGTGTGCAAGTTCAATAAATGCAACAAATAAGACTCTCAAACCCCCTCCCTATCATGGATTGATTAAGGAAAGTGGTTGACAATGACTCTTGAACCGTTTTCATCACTATTAAGTATGAAACGACTCAAGACTCAAGGGTTCAATTAACGTCCGATTGAACCCAAGTTGAGTTATTATCTTGCATCATTTTAGTCCAAGTTTTATTATTCCATTTTAATTACCTTTCCATTCTTTAATTCATTAAGTCCAAAGGTGAGCTTTAAGTCCTCTAATGGAAAGTAGTATCAAACCAAGAGTTTTTAGGCATGAGAGAAGTATCATGCCGTTGGTAATGAACCCCCAAAGGGATTAAACCATTTAGCATAAAACCTCAATCTCATGCTTTAAACATGCAACTAGTTTGAACCAACTTTCAAAGCAAAGCAAGAGCGAAGAAAGAAGGGAGGTTACAGAAGTGATTAGCAGTGAAAACAAGTATGAAAAGCCATAAACAAATGCTATCAACTCAAATGGGATGGTGGCTAAGGCCTAAACCACCAAACCTATGAGGACAATTAAACTACAAGCATGCAATACAAGGCTCAAATGCAATGAACAACCAAAAATAATCCTAAAATAGTGCTAAATAAGTCCTAAAACATACTAGAATTAAGACAAAAAAAAACTTGAATAATAAGCTAAAACATAAAGCTATGTAAGCTAGTGAACAAGACACAAGGAGGGGAGGCTAACCCCTCTAATTTTGGACTTCAAAACATGTTTTTAGCCATTGAAATAACTTTGAAATTCAGTATTTAAAAGCTCAAAAAAATATATTGTAAAGGTGAGAAACACAAGGGTAAAGGCTAGAGAAACAAGGTGGAAAGAAAGGTGAACCACCCCTCCACCCTTTAAGGCCTTACACCATAGTTTCAGCCCAAAAATACATAGTTTATACGGCCCAAAAACAATAGAAAAACGGTAGGAAAAGAAACAACCAAAACAATGAAACAAGCTAAGCCTTATACCTCTTGAAGAGAATAACACTTTTAAGCAATAATTCAACACATACACACCCTCAAGAGCTCAAAGTAGGCTCAAAATTACCTCAGCTCAAAGATGGCAAGGTTTGGTCAAGAGTATATAGGCAAAAGCTCAAGAAATTTCAAGAGAGAGAGAGAGAATTGTAGAGAGAGAAAATTAATTTTGCTCTAATTTTTCTAACCTTCAAAAATGGAAGAGGAGGTCCTCTATTTATAGAAAAATAGGTCACTCCCTCAGAAACATCCATCCATACACGTGGGAGTAGATACAAGCATCTATGCAAACAGCTGG